TGTGTTGGAGGGAGGGGGGCGGGGCCGAAGGGCGCAACAATTCATGTGGAATATTGTTTATGAATTCAGCTCGCTATCGCAAATCTACACACACATACATACACGCACAGGAGTGAGCAGGAATTTCGTAGCATACTTTCATGGGCAATTGATAAGCAGTCGTCGTCCTTTGCTTCGCTTCGCAGGGGAGTTTGTTATGGTTAAAGTTTCTGCGGTTGTTGTTGCAACAGCGACGGCTGTTCTTGCCACATATTTTATGGCTGTCCACTTCCGCCAAAAGCAGTGGGAGTAGCAGTGGAAGTGGATGTGAACCTTATATAATATATAATACTACACCACATTGACCCTGCGGCCCAACTCTGGCCAATCAGGGAAAGTGTTAAGGTTTTTATGCTCTACCCACATGAAATCACTCACCACCGCTCCAATTCGGAAATTCGGAAATATTCCAAAATTCTAGCCCAATTGAAACTTGTTGATGAAGTGGAGGGCAGTGGGTATTTATGGCTAATGATTTAGTGGCTTCGATAAATTCATGGCCATTTAGTACATGGTTTGCTCAAATGGGTTCATGTTAAACTACCTAAAAACTATGCTGCATTGTCTGTTTTCATTCGGCCTTTTATCCATTTATTTAATACTATTTATTGTCTTTATAAGTTGATTACTTTGTCTGTATTTTCCTGACTTTTCTCTAGTGCCCTTATTTCTGCCTTATCATTTTGTGCTTACATTTTGATGTGTCTCTCTTATTTTGGCTCTCCATTGACCCACTCAACCTCTTTTTCCCCTTGTCACATCGTACAAAACTCAATTAATAAAAGTTGACGGCGCGCATTGAGCGTAAAACTGCGTTGATGAGGCATAAAAGTGCTTTAACCCTTTTGCCACACACACACACACACACACACTCGTTCTGCCAGCTGGGGGCCTTAAACACCCACTGGGCGAAGCTTGAGGTCCGAATAAAAAAAAAAAAAAACATGAAAAATATTTGATAACATTGCCGCCATCGATGGAACTCTCGAGTGGGGACAACCGCCACTCGCCACCCCCACGTGGCATACAAAATTATGCAAATGATTGGGCTTTTTGGGGGGTCGGGGAACCCGCTAACGATGCTAGCCATGAAAACAAAAAATAAAAATACAGAAAACAGAAACTAGAAACCAGAAACCAGAAAAGGAATCACAATGGAAGTCCCCGAAACAATAACAATCCGCTGATGATAATCTCCAGGCAGGTAACGAGCCAGCCCTGGCTTCCGTCTGCCGTCACGCATTCCTCCCTAACACTACACACCCTGCCCCACCCTCGATTTGCACCCCCTACTCCACCCCTGCCCGTCACTTGTTCTTCGTGCTTTATGTTAATGAATTTATTTATTATTATTTCATGTTTTTTTTTTTCGTTTTTTTTTTCGTTTTTTTTTTCTTTTTCATTCGAACGGAACCTCTCTCATTTTTTTTTTTTTTTTGGATTTTGTGCTTAGCATTGCCCTGTAGCCCGGTAAATTAATTTGGCCACCGCAGGATGTGAAGAACAAGGGAATAAAGGGCATGTCTGTCGTAAAGGGGCCACATTCCGCATACGCCACGTGGGCCATCAGTGAGTAGCCAGTGTTGTCACCTAGCACTCGTTGATAGGACGAGAAGATCAGCGAAATAACTCTTCGTTTTTTTTTTCTTCTCGAAAGCGAAGCCAAAACAGAAGCGAACAAAACGTCGCAAACGTTGAAAGCTAATTACAAATGGAGTATTTGGATGGGGAATGGGGTTGGACCCTTACAACATTACCGCTCCGCTTCGGCTTCGGCTTCGGCGTCGGCTTCAGCTTCGGCTAATTATTTAAAATGCTCGGCGACATTAAAAAGCACTTTCGCCTCGCAATGATAATCACAAAATGTTGCCGCATTCCGCAATGGTCCCCTCCATGCTGTATTTTGTGGTGCTTTTGTGGCTTTTTTGATAATGACGCTGATTAGTCAGCGCTTACGACAACTCGGCATTGTCTTCTTCGTGTTTCAAACCGCCAACCCTCCATTTCCCCTCTTTTTTTGCTTTTATATCGCCAAATCTTGAGACAGAATAAGGGTGAGCCAGAGGATTAGCAGCTAGGAACTTTAAATTTAAGTTTCCTCTAATGTCTCTGACGCAATCGAGTCGACTGGAAAAACGGAAATGAAAATAGAAACTGTGCTCAACGAAAAAAAAAAAAAAGAAAATAACAAAAAAAACCTAAAAAGCGAAATTTGATTGATGGCAAAGAGTTTTGTTTGCCGCTAGTTTTCTTTCACTGCACTCAACTTGAACATATAAACTGAGCAGAAATATTCCCATTCCCATTTCCATTTCAATTTTCATTTCCACTTGAGCGTGCAAGGGGTTTTTTTTGCGGGATGGAGGGGTGTAGGTTTGGGGATTGAATTGGAAAATTTCATAACAAACAAACAGAAGTAAAAACAAACATTGAACCGTCTGACTCATAAAAGTTTAGTTCGTCTAATTGCAACTGGAAATTATTTGGATTTGCTTTGGATTTTGATAAATTGGCCATTTCCATCTGAATGGATAAACACACACCGAATGTGTATCCACACTCGCGCGATCCAAAATCCAAATCCGAATCCGAATCTGAATCCGAAGAGTCGTCTTTTATGAACTGGCCCAAGGATCCGCGAGATTTCGCAGATGTCTCCTCTGTCCCGCTCCCGAAATTAACACCTCACGGTCCTCTGGAGGGCCATAAAAACTGATGGGGCCACTGGCTGGGCAATTAACATGGCATGGCAACAACTGGAACAACAACTCTGCCAACGGGATGTGTAAGCATACAGTGCGTTGCGAAAGTGTAGGGCAGGGTAAATGTTTAAAACTTACTGCTGCCCAGAACGTATATTGTTGGATAGTCTCAACTTGTGAATTAAGTTCAGTTGAAAGATAAATTCATGGTTTCTATCATTAAATCAACATATTACATATTATATATTACAAAAAAGGCCAAAATGGTACCCACAAGCGAAAAAAAAATGTTGTACAGGTAACCTTATTAATCAACCCTAATAATTTGAAATTTTTATTAAACAAAATTAGCATTAAATAATGTAATAAATTTGTTCACATTTTAGTGGAATCTGTTGTTCTCTTTTTAAGTGAGTGATTAAAATTCCGGTACGCACTGTACGCACATGGAAAAATGTAAACTTCTAGCCGGCAACGCAACTCGAACAGAACTCGCTCTTTCAGTGCCGCCGCCGATGCCCACCCACTTCGCTGTGGTCTCAGTGCCCGCCCTGCCCTGCCTCGCCCTGCCCCGCCCCGCCCCTTTTACACTCACTACCGCCTCCGCCCCTTCGATACTCTCTGCTTGTCTTTGTCTTTCTGTGTGTTTTCAGGGGGGGTTACGTCATTGAGGGACACGCAATGGCAAATGTTTGTATTTTTATTATTATCGTGTTATGCCATGTATTTGTTTGTTTGTTCGTTTGTTGGATTGCCGGATTGCCGGATTGTTACCCAGTCGCGTCATAGAGTAGGCATCCAAAAGCGTGGGGATGTGGAGTGGGAGGGGGAGGGGGAGGGGTAAAGGATTTTGGAAGACTTGGGAGGAGAAGGACTCGCACTCGCTTGTAAGGTGCGTCCGCCGCTGGCTCAAAATACGCTCGTACGCACTTCCCCCGGCTTTACGATTTCGCGTATCTGCCGCTCTGGCGATAAAGTTTTTTTCCCCGTCAACTGCTGCTATTACACAGAAAAAAAACGGGTCTAATAGGTACTTCCAATCGATATATATGTTATTATTTTTAATTTAGATAATTTTAAAATTTTTTTTAGATTATTTTACTAATTGTATAAAAAAATGTTATCTAAGAAGTTACCTGTAATCTGCAGAAATTAAAGAAGTATTACAAAATCTTTTAAGCTTGATGTAAATTCTATGTAGAATAAATTAAATAGATTTTTTTATTTTAGGGGAATCTGTTAAAAGAAAGTCTTAGAAAAAAACTTGGAAAATTCCGTGAATGATGAGATACAATTTGATCTACACATGTACGAAGACATTTTAAGTTCCGCAGAGATTGAGAAAAATATGTTTCCATTAGGTGGTTCTGCTATTTTCGCAGTGTGCTGAAAAGTGGGGGAAATTTATCGCTAACTGCTTGGCTGATTGTCCCAGTTCTTGTTCGACTTTTCCCAGCTCTTCGTCGATTTGGCCTCTTATCTAAGACCATTGCCAGCTTTTGGTAATTGTCGAAGTCAAAGTCTCCTGCTGCTGCTGCAGGACTTGTGTCCACGGGTTTTTCATAGAGTTCAATTCGTCTGCTTCTCCTCCTCCTCCTCCTCCTCTTACTTCTTTTTTTTCTTTTTTCTCTTCTCTTTTTTGGGGCACTGGAGTGTGGAGTTTTTATTTTTCCGCTGGCTTTTTTTGGTCCTCCGCTAGTGCTACTCTTTGAGTTTTTGTTGTAAGTTCTTGCAGCTTTTAACACGCATACAGAGGCGCCTCAACACGCACACAATCACATGAGCAAGAGAAAATGGGAGAGCATGTGTGTGCGTGTGTGTGAGTGGTGAAAAGCTTTGGTGCCTTGCGCCTTCGTCATCGTTTCGTGTGGTGAATTTGGGGCTGCCTGCATTTGTGTGCGTTATATAAGTCGGTTATGAGTCGCGAAGCAAGCCACCTCCCCCCACTCTCCCCACCTACTCCCCTCAAAATAACGGTGCCGAAAAACCCACCACAGCCCATTGAGAATGTTACCAAAAAAGTTCTCAGTTGTTGATAGCCAACCGTATATTCCGCCGTATTCCGTATTCCGTTTGCCGTTTTGCCGTGGATTTTGCAGAGCGCTTTCAGTCGCTGATTTGACCGCCAAACAAACGCAACGCAGCTCGGCTGGTTTTTTTCAAAACGCCTCGAAAAAAAGGCCAAAACGCGCTCTCCGGTCTACAGCAACAACAACCACGACAACAAAAAAAAAAGCCAAACCAACAACAACAATAACAACAACAACAACAAAACCAACAATAACAAAATAAAGCAATTACATGTAGTTGGTTTGTTTTTCTTTTTTTTCAAAGTTCTAACCAGCAAATAGTTGACACTTTTTTTTCGGTTAAATAATAAATAAAAGAAATATAAATCAAACAAAAAGAAAATAAACACCATACAAAAAGTAAGCAAAAGTGAGAAAATTAAATAAAAACATTACGAACAAAACAATAATAATAGTTTGGTGCTTAACATACAAAATCAACAAAGGGATCAAGTGTTTATTTATATTTGTGTAGCATACTTTTGTGCGGCAGTCAAAGATTAATTTACACAAAAGGGAGACCCACACACACACAAACACACACAGTGAAAGAGATAGCTAGATAGGCGCCAGAAAGAGACGGGAAGACGAAGGTTACTTTCGCATTTATGCATATGGGTTGGCTTTCGGTTTGGTTGGGGTTTTTTAGTTTTGGTTTTGGCATTCGTTATGCTCACAAAACTTGACCCAAATTTACGTTTTGCGGTCCAGCAGCTGCCGCTAAAAAAGGGGCCTAGGGCTGGTAGAATGTGGGCGAAAAAGGGGGGGAGAAAGTGGGGGCGACATTGCCAGCGAGACAACGTGGAAGGATTATGTAAACAAAAATAAGTTTCCCCTTCGCCCATTTCGGGCTCGTGTGTCGCGACGCTCAGACTTAGCCTCCAAGGACTCAGTGTGGGTGGCGGAGGTGGTACTAGTACTCAGTCCCAGCCCCGCACATTCATCAATGGAGGCAATCATCCGCACCCAATCCGTATCCGTCCGTAATCACAAATGCAGCTCCCTCTCACCTTGCGTGTCATTTTGCTTGTTTTGGCCACGAGTCCCGCTGACTTTCTGTGTTCGAGTGACAAAACAAAACGCGGTCAACAAAATGCAGTTTAATTTGCATCAATTATTTGATAATTGGCCATGGCCAAGAATTCCCGGAATCAGCACGAAACCAGGCGGCGAAGGATAAGATCTCCCTCATTTTGCAACCAAATTGGGCAATCTGTCGAGACTTAATAGATGCAATCTGCCGCCATTTGATGTTCAGCAAAGTGAGATATTTGAGTTCGAAGGAGATGTCCTTAAAGTGCTCTTTTACGGCTTACAAGTTGATGTTTAGTTCAAAGGACATCAAATTAATTATTTAAAAATTATTAAAAATTATAATTACAAAAGTTGTATTTCTCTCATTTACAAATTGAATTATTTTCAAAACCTCATTTAGGGTTTAATATAAATTTTAAACATTGTAAGTTAAATATATCACGGCATTTAAAATTCGTAATTTATTCCTTATATTGTTTACTTTATTTTAACTATTTGGTAGCTTTAAGAAACATCTATCCAAATGGTAGTATTATTTCCAAATTCAAGTTTAATTAAATGTGCATTTCAAATTGAATAGCAATATTTATTTGTCAAGAGTAAAAGAATTATTGATAAATATGATTTGAGTTATTTGATTTTACCCATTGCCAGCTATTATTTATTAAAGTACTTTATTTATGTACTGTGTGATTTAAAAACAATTCTTGGTTTCTCAACTACATCATTTTTGCTTGTGCCATTAATATTTCAATTTCAAAATAACCATTTATTTTCCATTTTATTTTATATTGAGTTATTTTAAAAATGATTATTTCATATTCTCTTAACGAAATGCATGCAAATTTTTGCCTAGTTCAAGCCATGAATATTTCAATTTTAATAGCAGCATTTATTTGCTAAGACCTACTTTCCCAATCACAGTTTCCTCCAAGGAATTCCACATTAAGTGCTCTGAGGAATTTCCATTGCCGAGATGAGTTTCGCCCTCCATCGCTTCGCTCTGAGCCTGGTCTAATCCAATCGCCTTAAGGTAGGCACTGACATTTAGGCAATCCCTCGCCAAGTTGATTGCAATCCGCCCACCTTCTCCTTCGCTCCTCCTGCTTTCTTCGAAGGACCTCATCCTTGGGCCGCCCTCGAAATCTTCGAGAGTTGTGCATTGTTTGCATCGAGCCTTTCGCTTCATATTCGTGGGCGTTCTTGTCATTCATCCTTTTGGCGGCGGCGGTGGATGTTAAAATTAATTTACCACCTCCGCTGGTGATGCGGGTGACGGCTCTGCCGCTGTGGGTTCCACATTTTCAGTATTTTCCCTCGTTCTTCTGGCCATCTCAACCTTCATTTACATTTTTATACAGGCAAAAAAAAAATCATTGCACAATTCAGAGATACGAATTTTAACAGTCCAATGGCAGGTTAAAAGCAATAATTTACCATTGCCAAATTTGTTCAAACTAAAACAATTTTTCTAATCTAGATTGCAATCAAGGAAATGTGATTATACACTTATTTATTTATGATTATTCTATTAAAGTTGAGCGGGTTGCCAACAACTTATGTAGTAAACGGTTATTTTAAGTTGGGAAAACTTGGTAAAGTATTTTATTTTGTAAACTTTAGTTAGCTAAAGATATTTTCGAATTTGATTTAAAAAAAAATTAAACCAAATCTAAGATCTAAAAAAGAAGAGATTTCTTTTTTTTGCTGGGTACTTGCTACATAATTTATTTTTTTGAAAAGCTTTTGTAAGTTTTTATATTTGTATTTAAATATTTTCACAATTTTTACTAAGGAAGATGCTTGTTCTTTTTAGATGTTGTACTTATCTCCGCTGACTTGCAAAAAGAAAGCCACATTTTGATTTGAAAGACTAGATAAAACAAAAATTTAAATTTTAATTAAGAGTATCTAAAGAAGATATTAGTTTTCTGTGTGTAAGCCAGCTTTCGGGTATCGTTTACAATCCATTTCATTCGGATAACTTTGCGGGGGTTCTCCGTTCCATTCACCGCGTTCCGATCCTTTGGCCATACCCACTTCCATTCCGTTCCCCCTGCACCGCCACTCGCCTTCCCCACTTTTTGTTGGCGAGTGTAGATGAGTGCGAGAAAAGTGTTGCATGCTCGCGGGCTAAACGCGAGATGAACACGCAACCGAAGGATAAAGGGTAGAGTGGCCAAAAGGAGGTGGGAGGCTGAAGCTGACAACAACAACAGCAACAACAACAGCAGCAGCAGCAGCAGCAGCAACAACAACTGCAGCAGGCAGCATAAAAAATAAGCACACACAAGGAGGCGAGAAGGAAAGACACATTCAGACAGATAAACGAGTCGAGTTACAAGCCAGGACTTTTTGGGGCAAAGAGAAAAGAAGACGGGGGTAGAGATAGCAAGAACCTACCTATTGCCATCTCGCTCGTTGGCACTGCATTAGCAGCCAGCTGTGAACGAAATAAACGTAAAAATATTTTTAGTGTGAACAAATTTCAGCTCGTCGCTCGTTGTAAAAAGCAATACAAAATGAAACTGAAATACTGCGACAAACGCACACAGGTATAAGCACACACACACACAATAATATACGCAAGAGCACACCTGACATGATAACACACACACACACAAACACAGAACACACGGACTGAGACAAACTGTGTTTAGTTAGCAAATGCCAATGGCTCATGTTCGCTAGAAAGAGAGGACGAAAAGGTGTGTGTGTGTGTGGGTGGGTGTATCGTGTATCCTTAGGCGTAGGAGTATGTATATGCGACAGTGTGTGTGCGACAGTTTTGTAAACAAACAAAGTCAAAAGCAACAAGAATTTCAGCCGACTTGAACGAAGATATTGAGGGTCTCTCCAACGAGCAAGGCTTTACATAATTGTGCCCATCCTTATAATAAAGGAGTTCATTAAAAGCGAAAGCAGGTGACCCCATTACCCCAAGAATTTCCACATATTTGCCGTTCTGCAGAAAAAGATATTAAGGACATTAGCAGTTTTTACAGAAGCCCATTCGGAGGACCATATTACATCGCAAATATTTCATTTGAAGAGTTAATTGAAGATATTTCTTATAACATGAAATGGATAGTACTAATTTTTTTATGTCCAAATTTCAGACTTTTTTGTAAGGGGGTACATCATCATTTTTTGCAGAAATTTGAAAATCTGAAAAAATTTTAGCTGAGAATGCCATTCGATTGGAAATTTTATTACGAATTCAACGGTGTATGGCATTCCACATTTTGACCATTGTTTCCAAGGGTTTTGACACAAAAACCAAGTTTTTAATGTGTTTTTGGAGATTTTCTAAACCAAATTATTTCTGAAGAGTCTTTTTGTTGTACCTTTGCCAAAATAAGACCCAAAGTCAAAAGAGTTGCTATTTTAAACAGCTAGCAACCCATACCATCCATCCCTGATCGATTGAAAACAATTAATTCAGCTTTGACGCAAAAACCGAATTTTGAAAAACGTTTTTTGAAAAATTTAATTATGTCCAAATTTCTGACTTTTTTGTAAGGGGGTACATCATAATTTTTTGCAGAAATTTGAAAATCTGAAAAAATTTTAGCTGAGAATGCCATTCGATTGGAAATTTTATTACGAATTCAACGGTGTATGGCATTCCACATTTTGACCATTGTTTCCAAGGGTTTTGACACAAAAACCAAGTTTTTAATGTGTTTTTGGAGATTTTCTAAACCAAATTATTTCTGAAGAGTCTTTTTGTTGTAACTTTGCCAAAATAAGACCCAAAGTCAAAAGAGTTGCTATTTTAAGCAGCTGGCAACCTATATGATCCATCCCTTATCGATTGAAAACAATTAATTTAGTTTTGACAAAAAAACCGAATTTTGAAAAACGATTTTTGAAAAAATTATTTATGTCTAAATTTCTGACTTTTTTGTAAGGGGGCACATCATCATTTTTTGCAGAAATTTGAAAATCTGAAAAAATTTTAGCTGTGAATGCTATTCGATTGGAAATTTTATTACGAATTCAACGGTGTATGACATTCCACATTTTGACCATTATATCCCAGGGTTTTGACACAAAAACCAAGTTTTTAATGTGTTTTTTGGGTTTTTGGAGATTTTCCAAACATAATTATTGCTAAAGAGTAATGACGAGTTTAAGGATGTTCAAATTTCGTATAATATTGCACTATGATACAAGATCCAAAAATGCAAAACAAATGAGCATACTTCTAAAAAGTTGTGACTTATTTTTAAGCAATTTTTATGTAGCTTTTAATATTTTTTTAAGACCTTACAAAAATGTGACTTAAAACTGAGGTATAAAAACAGTAACCATACCTAGAAAAGTGATATTTAAATTAATTAAAAATCTGCATAGTTTTTATGTTAAACAATATTTAGGCAAGCAACGAATTTTCGATACAATTTCCAATTTTTTTCGCAAGAAGGAAGGGATAAGCTTGGATTTCTTTCGCTGAACAGCAGAACTGTCACGTTTTCAAGCTTCTTTCTGGCTTTCCCTTTGGGCATTGAGTGTTTTTGATTTCGTTTCTGCACTTGATGCGAACGTTTTGCATGCGACATCTCGGTGGGACTGCATCTGAAATTAACAGAATTTATTTCATTGCATACTGCAGCCCCCTTTCCCTTTCGTTTTCCGCGTTTTTCTCTGGAGGGAGATGAAAAAAAAAAAACAAAGGCAACTTATTTTTATGCCATTCGCGTCAACCGCAGAAGGCAGCACAGAGAAAAACCCCACAGCCAACCCCTTCGGCACACACAGGGTTAAGTTTTTTATGCGCTTTTGTTTGCATCCTCTGCAGCGTACCACGCCCCTCTCCCCGCCCTCCGACCCCTACTTAATACGGTTTTTATTTTTATTTTTTTTTTGTTACCAACTGTCATGAAAAGTTCGAGTCGAGAGTTGACCTGAAAAGTGTCGCACTGTGTATTTGTATGCCTTTCTTTACCCCGTTAACCCCCCATCGCTGTGTGCTTTCTCTGCCACGCCCCCCACCCGCGCCCTCGCCCTCTTTTGTCACGCCTCTGGTCTCGATGTAATCATCGACGTGGCGGCCATAGTTCGACTTTGTAGTCTGGAAAATCACTAATTGAAGATGTCCAAAAACTGAAAATAGTTTTTAATCAAAATCGGGACATGGGAGATTATCGATAAGTTTGATGGATGAGTCTTGAGGGGTCAAAAGGATACAAGTGGAATTGAGGCATCCTTCGGATGAGATCACTTCACACGCCCCTTAAGCTCTCCTCGAAACAACTTTTGAGTCGAGAAAAAGTGCGGCAAACTTTTCATAAACTATCTTCGACAGATATTGAAACAGAACTAAAACAAAATATATATGTATTCTTTATATATATATATTTAATATCTGCAAATGTGTTGTGAACTTGCATCCATACTTTCTCCCTTACTCGCATTTAATATTTTTTTATAGGAAAATTATAAAGCATATTAAAATACTTATGGCAAACTTTTGAATACCCAAAACAAAGCAACAGCAACGAAAAAAGATAGAGTAAAGCGAAAATAACTAAAGTAAGACGAACTTGCGCAACAAAAAAGTTTTGCCACTAAAAAGCAATAGCAGTCAAGTGCAACAGCAACAAAAACAACAACAGTATCTAAAAGAGTCGCCACAAGAACAACATGGGAAAAAAGAGCTCCAAGTTGAAACAGGATACCATTGATCGCTTAACAACGGACACATACTGTAAGTAAATTGAAAAGACTTAAATATACTTAATCAAATGATACAGTGCGTTTCAAAAGCAGTATACACATGTCTAAACTATTTTTTTTATGACATTTTTAAACTAAAAAAAAAATATATGTTTATACTTATATAATTACTATATAAACATGTCATTAAATTAAAAGCCTAAAACTTATTCAATGCTTTCAAAATGTGTGTTTAATTTATAATTTCAGTATTTTTAAGTAAGTTTTTTAGTAAAAAGCAGACTTTAATTTATTTTCATGGCTTCATAAAGGTAAAGCTGTCTTGTAGAAGTGATAAAACAAATTCTAACCCCAAAACAATTGTTTTCTGAGTGTGTAACGAGAATTTAAATTGATCATTTAATCCCTAACCTTTCTTACAAGTTTCACAAATACCCTCAGGACCTGTGAGCTGCCGTAATAAACACTATATCAATTCCACATCTACCTTATTTTATTATTTTTCCATCCACAATGTCTGCACCCTGTTTTCCCCGCCCTTTGGTTTACCTTGTAATAATTCCGTTTCCTTATTTATTTATTTGTTTGTTTTGCCAGGGCATTTATGCGTTTTTTTTTTTTTTTTGTGTTGTGTGCCTCAACTCATTTTCCATTTCCCCCGATTGGCATTTTCTCATTTTGATTTGTTTTTGTTTTCGTTTGCCCAAGCATCAATCAAAATATGAAAAAAGGTGCAGACATTTTTCGCGGCACACATACATACATATACATGTATCTACGTATCTGACAGATAAATGCATAATTCAAAAGTGTTTTCCCCGAGAACTTATTCATCAGCGAGGGCGGACTGAACTGAACTGACTCATCAGTCATGGACGATGGCAATAAAGTCACCCGACTGACGGCAAACATCTGAGCCCGATTCGATTGAGAAACTTGAAATTAGCCAGCTCAAGTTCGGTGCATAAATGGCGAATGGATCCATTGGTTATTGAGTTCCCATTCTCATTCTCATTCCCATTCCCATTCCAATTCCCATTCTCATTCCCAATTGCCAGGAGAATCTGGAGAAGCACTTGACATTTATGGTTTAATTTTATCGCTTTTTTCCGTGTAGCCACTTTTGCTGCTACTTTGTTATAAATTGACATGTTATTGTTGCTGTAACTGACAGCTGCAGTTATTGCCTCAATGAGTTTGAGTTTGACTTAAAATATCGACGTTTGTGCACCGTTTTTGTTGGACGATCGTAAAGAAAAAATACTAGAATTATATACATATTTTATACATATTAAAGAGCAAACACAAGTAATATTTACAGCTGTGAAAATAATTAAGTTGTAAACTTGATGCAAAAGTCATTAAAAACGGCATAAAGAATATACAAACAATACAAACTGTAACGCATACTTAGGTTATGATCTCTTTTGCCTATTAATAGTTTTCGTCATTTTAATGACCACCCCACTTCCTCAACCCCTAGTGCAATATGCACTTGCAGTATTATCTTTAAACCTTTACTACTATTAGAACTGCACTTTCTGTTTATGTTAATGCAGCTGTTTTGAGCTCGCTTTTTACGACTTTTTCGCCCTACCCGACAAAGTTAAACATTAATTGTATGCTCTGTTGCTACGTTTTACTATACCTTTGAATTTACCTTTATCGCTGGTAGTTGGTAGTTACCTTTACCGTTTGTGGTTACCTGTTGTGGCCCATACAATGTGTTGTGTTAACTGTTACTATTAGTTACACCTTTATTTAACAACACTCTCGCTCGCTCCTTCACTCCCTGTTTTGTATGTTCTGGTGGAACTTATTTTTCATCCGCTCCTTTTTTACTGCTAAGCAGGACATTACATTTACTTAGCTGGGTTCTTCGTTTTGTGCTGGCCATTTGGGCTCCTTAAAAATGCAAGTCAGAAACTTTTCGAGCCCAAAACTTTGTGACTAATTGCTTTCGGTTTATTCCTCTCCCTGTATTTTCTTATTTTGTGGTCCGCACCGAGGTCAGGGGTTAACGGGGGGGTCGTATAAATAATTACCGTTGGGCATTGGGCATTTGCGGGCACCTGGCCAAAAGGGAAAGGGAAAGGGGAAGGAGCCGAAGAAAAGTGTTGACAGATTGCTGCCAAAGTTTTCACCGTTTTTTAATGGCTTTTCCTTGAAGTTGTTTGTCTTGCTTGGCTGGGTGTTTGGGTTGCGTGGAAAATGGATGAAAAAATGCGGTGGCTTAGCTCTGCTTAAAATAGAATTCATTGGATTCGTTCTGTTTAAATATGCAACTCGAAAATTGTAATCCTCTTTCCTCGACTGCAGCAATCTACAACTTCTATTTGCCACCCACATTTGCCAACCCCATAAAACCCATTGTGTGTGTATGCAACAGCTGCTTCTGCTACTGCTTGGCCGAGATTTATTTGGCCAGGCAAAACAAATGAATCAACTAAGGACTCAATTTATTGCCAACGGGTCGTATGAGCAATTTCTGCTGGCAGGGGTCAATGTTTGTCCTGTCCATTGACATGCCAATCAATTGGACATTAAACTAACCCCCAGTTCGCATCGTCTTAGCCCTCTGCAGCCCGCAATGAAATAAATAAACAAACGGACCGAAATTTGATTAGCTCTGGCAAAGGGCGGAAAATGCAAATTCCCCAGTGCGGAGGCTCAAATTAGGGCCCATAGGTGTTGCTGGCCAATGTTGTCCCTAACTTGGTTAAATTCAATTAAATTGGACTTGCTGGTTGTAACAAATGTTACTATTCAATAGCAGATTATGATACAATGCCTATTTATGATTTCTTTCTGAAATCATCAACAAAATAAAACACCTAAAAAGTATATTTATAGCTAGTTAAGGCTGCATTTTAATTATTATTAATATTGAAATATATATCTTTCCAATATACATTTGACAATCAAATTCAATTAAATAACTCACAATTTTGGGTGTGCATTAAGCTCATTATTTATTTAAGCTGCACAGTTTTGAACAATTTATCATATTTCACAATAGGATAAGCTATGCGCAAGAAAAAAATATGCACAAAAAGATTTGAATATGATAGCAATACCATCAGCACTAAATTGTAATATTTTTTTGTTTTTTTTTGTTGGCTTCTTTGTCGATTTATGCATTCGAAATTTAATAGCAATTAAATGCATATTTTTTGTAAGCCTTATCATATAAAATAAAAATGAAATAACAAAGCAACTGATGGGCTGGAAATATGAAAAAATGTAATTTGTAAAATAGTATCAATTCAACCAGCATAAAATTGGTGGTATTTCAAATTTCGTTTTTGCTCTGTGCCGAGTGTATGCACATATGTAGTATGAATGGCAGCGAATGTGATAAATATTTCGAAAGGGAGAAAAGGGGGAAAACAGGAAAAGCCACCGGTTCCGAGGGTGCCTCAAAGTGCCAGCGACAATTGCGCACAACGGAATGAATATGTTATACACGGTCATCGTTCCATGAGGTGGGGATATACCCACATCCTTTGAAAAGGTGCCACCCCCTCGGCATCCTTCGATGCTGATCCGCAATCTTTTCCATCCCAACTTGAGCTGACAGAATGACTCTTGCTGTACGAATGACAATGCGATTCAGGAAGGTGGATTGGCTGCTACCGATGGCAACAAGTCGTATGAGCAATATGCACTTTATTTACAATCAATACAGGCGAACAAGTGACGCCGTACAGGCATACAAAAATGGGAAAAAATATACAAAAAAAAGGAGAAAAATGAAAGGCACACACAATGCTGCCCCGTAAATGCCGTTATATTTTTACATGCCACACGTCAATAATACAAGGGGGGAGTCTGTTCGTCTGTCCGTCTGTCCATCAGTCTTTCTGCCTGTCTGTCTGTCTGTCTGTCTGTTAGCCAGGCTATCGATTACCAATCAATTCTGCTCCTGGCGTTGGCTGTGCCAATTGTTGACTTCATTGGATTGACATTCCCTGCGGGATAATGACAACAACAAATAATGGATCAACGGAGTGCGTGGGTCTAAGACGGGGAAGGGGGGGGGCTAAGGACTAAGCCCACAAAGCGCTCTCCTTTCTGCGGCTAATTAAAATGCAAATGCTGCTGCGATTTCTTTGCCAGTCAGCTAATCAAAATGAAAAATGATAACCAAACCGAACGGAAACACAAGAGGGGAAACGATATGCTAAAAAATGGAGCTACACTTTGCAAAATATTAAATGCATTAAATAATTAGTTTAATAAAACATTAAGTGAGTAAGCACATTTGTAAAGTAAAATCTTGTGAAAACGAAATAGATATTTCGTAATGCTTATAGTATTATCACTTAAGTATTATAAAGTATTTTTTTTCGATTTGCTTTTTTGGATCATATATGTAGACTTTTTTTGAGATTAAAAACATAAAGTCATTTATAAATACTTTCAAATTATTATTTGGAACACTTAAAGTATGTAAAATTCTAATAAAACCGTTCTAAACAAAATCAAATATATGCAAATGTCACAAGCGTTTGTTTTATATGTTCAGTGCATTTTCTTCAGTGTAAGTGGGAGGAGGGGGTGGGGGAGGTTCCCTAGATGATATATGAACCACAGCGCCATGAATAATGCGAGTGGCCGCTGCAGATAACTGGCAGCCATCGAGTCAATAGCCCGTCTCCAATTCTCCGGATCCCAGGGGGGCGTAACTGCCTCCTTGCTGCAGCCCCGCCCCCTTTTCTCTGCAGCTGCCTCCGCCGCCGCCCAAATTGCCGGCCATTGACCACGCAACAGCACCCCCTCAAAAGCAATTCCAATGTGTGTAATTTTGCGTGAATTTATGTTTTTATTTTTTTTTTTTTGTTTCTGGATTTTTTTCCAATGCCCCGGTACTTTGAATGCTCCCCTGGTCAGGGAACATGTGCGCCATTCACACGCCCAGGAGTCAGGATATGGCCCTGGCCAGGTTGGAGGTTGGACATGACCAAGGGCGGCGGAGGCGTGGCATTCCCAGGGGGGAGCAGCGTTTAAACGTTTGGTAAACGGCCATTAGGCCAACGGCAATGGCAATGGCCAAACAAAATGAAAAAAGGAAAACAGAAGATTTTATGCCAGCAAAACAAAGAAAATTGTTATGCATGAATAGGGGAGGGGGGTGGCTAAGAAGTGGAGGACAAAAGGGGGTGGTGATGAAGGCGGAGGGGGGATGAATTCCAGATGAAGCCCAGGGCGTGGTCGAAAGACAATGAAAGATAATTCAGGACTCGAACCGAATGAGTTCAACATTTGCATATGAGAAGAGAGCGTCAGTACATGGAAATGGATAATGAAGAGGTCATCCCGGGCTTTATATACCCTCCCCCGACCTTCCCCATACATACTAACCGATCAATCAATAATGAATGAATAATTTAGCATCGACGATTTCATTAGTTGTGAAGCATAAAGCAAATTGATTTAGAAACAAGCAGAGGCAACTCTAATATTTAGTATTGTAGGAATATGTATATAACGATTTTAAAATTACCTTATAAAATATGCATCAAATAACTAAGACTCATAATTAAATGGATTTTTAAAAAATCTACTCGGGGCATTTTCTTACCTATATATAAAACAGATACATTAATTTTATTTATTTTAAAAACCTAAACAAATCTCAAAAAAATTACAGCAAATACCACAAAATGAAACTAGCCAATTTAAATTATTTTTTTTTTGTTTTTTAAGAAAATACATCAAACCGGTTTGGCAGCCAGCCTCTTATCATCAGTAGCCCCTTGTAGTTTTAATGGCAACTCTTGTGTAAATAAACAAATGGCTAAATCCATTGTTTTTGTCAGCTGGCTGGCCGGTAGTTCTGAAACGCACTGTACCCATTTAATGGCTCAACACCAGCCCACTTGAATTTTCTGTGCTCAATTGAACATTTAACCATATTCGCCCAGACCCACCTCAAAATAATCCACTCGCACCTTGTAAATATTTCAAATGCCGCATTAAAATTTAATCCACTTCGATTTGCTGTTTGTTTTCATTTGCAGTCACAGAAAAAGAAATACGTCAATGGTGAGTTGGCAGGCAAATATGCCAGCGGGCGGTGGCTACAGATGTCCGATGGCCGAGAATTAATTGAAAATATTTTTTTTTCGGCTATCCATATTTTTTTCGACACACCAGGCACAAAGGATTCCTGAAAGACTGCCCCAACGGCCTGCTCACAGAGCAAGTAAGTATATTAATACATTCTATACCATATAAGAAGAGGAATCACTTATGGGGGTGTCTAAAAGTATGCAATGAAAATACTTTGCAATTAATTCAATGAACATTTTTACTTAAAATCAATTGTTGCATATTTTAAGACAGGCATGCAACTAACTGAAACAAAACCCAAGTGAATAAGAATAAAGGTGTCTAAAAGTATGCAGTAAAAAATATTAATTTGTATTTTGAAATTAATCTAAAGGACTCCGGGAATCAAAATTTATTGTTGCCTACTTTAAAACAGCTTTATTGGTAATTTCACAACCCTTGTGATTCCTGTGACACCCCTCCATATATTTTAGGCCTTAATTCGGGTGTGTGTGAGTGTAGTTCGCTCCACCTGAGCGTGGCCAATTCATTTAAGTCAAACGGTTAATTAAGTTGATTTTCCGCCTTGCACCCGACTCCCCCTCTCGATTTATGTTGTCTAATTCCACGACAGCAGCCACATCAGACATGAGGAGCCCATCTCCCATCTCCCATCTCCCATCTCCCTGAAAACAAAAATGGGAGGGAGTGTTTGAAGGGTATTTTTGGGGGGTGGCCAAATGTGTTGACGACCCCGACTGCTAATGACATTGCCTTTGTAGATGTTGATGTTGCTGCTGTCGTCGTCGGCTGTTTGTTGATAATGAAGTTTATTAATGCGCGCATTATTCAAACACGAACTCAGCCCCACAGCGACATATGTGCCACGCCTCTAATTGATTCATCTGCATTTGTCTTTTGCCCCTGTCTCTCTGTTTCCCTGTCTTCCTGTCTCCCTGTCTCTCTTTCTCCTTCCACTTTCTCCCCAGGGCTTCATCAAAATCTACAAACAATTCTTTCCACAAGGCGATCCCAGTAAATTTGCATCGCTCGTCTTTCGCGTCTTCGATGAGAACAATGTGAGTATGCCTACATTTTCGAAAATACCTTTCCCAAAAAAAAAAAGGGTGCCGGCCACGCCCATTTAATGACCCACACGCTTATCATTTAAATTGAATTTAAAGTTAAAGTTAAAACATTGGTAAAATTAAGGGGCCCCTTTAAAAATTGTATATAAATAGTATTTAAATCGTTCTAAAATAGCATCACTTCTCAAATTGAATTATTTATTTTATCCAATAAACGTTGCTTTGTTTTCTAGACAAAGTTTGGTTTAAGTATGCAACTCTTTTATATAAATATTTAAGTGATATGTAAATTGAGTCCTTGTCTCTCTTTTTTGCTGAATGTAGAGGAGGGTTCATTTTCCTTTTGAGCGTGCTGACGTTGGCTAAAATTTCGAGACAGCCACAAAATAAACTGATTTTAGCAGGTTAATGTCCTGCTCTCACCGCTGCTCCCTCGTTTATGGGATGGGCGATCATAAATTTAGGGAAGCTTTTGTTGTTTCTCGTTTTTATTATTTATGGGCCATGGGCGTGGCCCCACCTCCGCCCCCACTACCTTCTAGCCAAACCACAGAATGTCAACTGTCTGATGTCTGCACTGATTTGCTTTCTTTGTCTCCCCGTGTGTGTGTGTGTCTCTCTACTTCTGTGTGTGTGTGCGCGTGCTTTCTCCTCGCTCTCTCTTTTTTTCTCCTGCCTTCCGTTTCCGATTTGATGGGTCTTCAGGATGGTTCCATTGAGTTTGAGGAGTTCATACGCGCCTTATCCGTTACATCGAAGGGCAACCTGGACGAAAAACTGCAGTGTAAGTGATGCCATATTTATAGTAAAAAGCCTTAAAAAATCTTTGACAAAAAAAAAAAAACCATCAGTTGATAAATATTTGTACTATTATTTTGGTACTATTATTATGTATGCCTTAACCACAGGGGCCTTCCGTCTATATGATGTGGACAACGACGGCTACATAACGCGCGAGGAGATGTACAACATAGTGGACGCAATCTATCAGATGGTGGTAAGTAGATAACAATGAGAAAGTTCTTTACTTTGTTAGAAGCAAGGAAACTTGTCCATTTTATAATATTAATATTAATATGAAATTATATTATTAAATGTTACTATATTAATATTATTTAATTTGTTATTAATTAGGGTAAAATAGAATTAATTGATAATTTGGATTTATTTTGGTTGATCATTTTCATTGACAATTTTCGACACCATCGATAGTGGCCACCATCGATGGCCAACCTTTATTTTAATCATACAAACGTTGCGTTAATTTAAAGACCTATTCTGTGTTTCACCATCTAATTCCATTTGTATTTAACCCATCTTTAAATACAGGGACAGCAACCGCAATCGGAGGACGAGAATACGCCGCAGAAACGAGTGGACAAGATCTTCGATCAGATGGATAAAAACCATGATGGCAAATTAACATTAGAAGAATTTCGTGAGGGTAGTAAAGCTGATCCACGTATAGTTCAGGCGTTAAGTTTAGGTGGTGGTTAAATCGATTAACAATGGCCGATTACCGATAACAGACCCAGAATTCCAATTCCACAAAAACCAAGCGCGCAATAAACCGAAACCAAAAAACAAAAAAATATTTAAATTGAAATTTGATCAAAACCCGCTAAAGAAAAAACCAAAAGCAAAAAAAAAAACAAAAGTAGTGGGGAGTGGGGAGAGGTTGGTACGGTGCCACGCCCACTCCACTTCGTTTGCATTCGCTTCTTCACTCTTCACTTTCTCTCTTCTCTACGCTTTTCTCAATTCTCAATTCCCGATTCTCGATTCTCCGCGCGTCGCTTGCGACACTGAAGATGATAATAATTTTTTGATATATGCATAAAGTATAAACTAATGGAGATGGAAAACCAAATAAAACGAACCGAAAACAAAAATGAAATTAATTTTTAAATATACACCAGAATATAAATATATAGGAAATCGTGGCGTAGTCAGAGCGCAGTTCATAGCAATAATGGAAAAACCAAAAGGCGAAAAGAAAAAAAAAACAAAAATTACGAATAAACTAATATTAATTTTAAATGAAATCGAAAGGCGTGAGGCGTGAGTCGCAAATCAATTTTTGAAGCATACACCAATTACGAGTAAACTAATTAAACCTACGAATAAATCAGCATAATTATACATACTATACAAATAAACGATACAATTAGAGCCGAACTAAGCCTACGAATCAATTGCGCAATTGCAGCCTTTGAAGCAAAAAAAAAAGCTAACGTTAAAGCGAGTTATCTAAACTCGATCCAAGTCAGCTAATTTCACTCACGACAGCCAAGAGCAGCCACTATATCCACACCTAATATAAATACATATAGATACATGTATGAATCCGAGAAGTGGCCGCAGACAGGACGAACAGAGTTCAGCGTTCTGAGTTCAGAGTTTAGAGTTTTGAGGGTGTCGAACAGGGGAGGGGAGCTGGCCAGCAGGTTGATTTTGGTCTAATTTAAATGAAAGGATCTTTTATCACCTAGTTTTCCCTGTAAGTTCATTTTTTCGCCTTTGAGCACATGGAAAGTTGGGAAGACTAAAATGGCAATATGAACCATTGTAATACGTTTCTGATAGATATATTATCACATTATAATTTGGGCAGTACTCTTGTAAGTATAAATATAGATTTCAACATTCTGGTGTAAATCACATGTAATTCAAAAATTAAACTGGTTTTCTATATTTTATTGATATTTCGATATCCAAGAGTGAAAGTTTTCTAGTCGATACAGTACGTTTCATAGCCCAAGACAGTGCGTTTCTGGACCTGCAGACTAGTTATTGCTTGGAGAAAGAGCTAATTTTTGGGGTTAATGTTGTAAACCATTTGCAATCGCAACCAGCTGCCTTACAGTCATGAAATGCAACTTCATGACTGCTAAACCAGCTCCCTTCGATAAGAGATTTTGAGTTGCAGATGAATTTTGGCCAAAATCCAAATAGCAGCGATTACAAAAAGTGTTGCATAGCCAACAGGCGTGGAAAAAGTGTTTGCTTTCGTTTGCCCTCTCTCTTTCTACCTTTAGCTCTATCTCTTTCCCTCTCTTTATCTCTCTCTCTTTCTGTATCAGTATCAGTATCAGTATCAGTATTTCCTGCTTTGCCTTGTTTTTCGTTAAGCGTTATATGTACGTTATACGTTCCCAACAACAATAACCAAAACCAAAAACCAAAAACCATTTACAATAACAACAAGAACAACACGAACATATTGACAATAGGCGGAGCAAAATGGGCAGGATGAACAGGAGGCGATCTGAAGGTCTTAAGAAACAGTGCTCGCCCAGCCCAGAAATAGCTGCGAAAGCGAAATTAAGCCATTAATAAATGATAAACTTATCAAAGAACGCACAGCTACAACCAGAGCCACATCAACAGCCAGAACATGAACATATATATATGTACTATTATATACACAACTGTATATCCTCGAGAAAAAAAGCAGCAGCAGCAGCAGAAGAAGCAGCAGCAGCGGCAAGGAAGTTGGAGCAGTTAGGATATATATAACAATGAAACAAATCCATCATACGATTTAATTTCTATTCTATATGCGGTTCAGCTTTATTATTGCATTGATTTTTCAATAAACCAGTCAACCGTTTTACTATTCCGATGACTATCTATAAATACGAATACCCACGCTTTCTCACGCCCCCCAAAACCCCCCCACCACCACCATCTTTAGTATCCTTTGTAAAATCTAGATGTGGGAGATCTTGGCCTCCCCTTGAAGAAAAAACATGAACATAAACATAAACATAAACATAAACACTCACCCAAAACACCCATACTGTATATCTATATAGTGCCTATGTAGTAGTAATTCTTATTATTTCGCCTGCTTTGCCTTCTTTGAGAACATTCCGAATTGACCGATTTACGTTTATCGTTTCCCAATGCTTTCCATGTCTTTAAGCACCGATCTAAAAGAATAAACACAATAAAATTTTAAGCATAATGCCATGCAACCTTAAACACTTCCCCAAAAAAAAAAAAAAAAAAACACACTCTCACACACACAGACACAAGCACATGTATGTGTATATATAAATATATGCCTAAACTTATATATACTCTATATAGTAAGCACTGCAATCGAAAGCAAGTTAAGGAACTATAAAGAAACCGAAAACCAAAAAAATCGAATACAAAAACGCTTCTATAAACCTCACTGAAATTCTTCGAAGAAAAAAAACTGAAAGATATAACACACACACACGTACGCATACTGACACGCTCACTCTCACACCCACACATATACACATGTACGAGTATATTAACAATAAACGTAATGCGAAAACTTAATCAATAATTAAATAATTCGAAAGTGATATAGCTGACAAAACAAATGTGTCTGTAGTCTAGTAGTTAAAAGAAATTGACAAAAACGAAACGAAATGGAAAACAAAAATTTATAAATAATATTAACTAAACTATTATATGACAGAGGGAAATTGGAGGCGACGGGGAAAGCGCAACGCAATTTTCACGTTGACTTTTTTTTTTTTTTGTAAGGAGACGCGACACAGCTGAGGCGGAAATAAGCAAATCAAACTGTAAATAACACTAAGTGAATCACGCACACCACAACACCACACACAATAACCTCACACACCCACACACACGCATACCCACTCACACACTAAAAAAAAAAAAAAAAAAAATGAGGAGTACCGAATAAGTTTGTTAACACCAAAAATATAACGGGTCTTAAGTAACAAAAAAACGTAAAACAAAAATGAAAATAATAATACGAAAAACGCAAAAAAAGAAAGCAAAAACAGTAAGTTAGAGCAAGGAATTTTTTTTGTGGATTGAATTGGATGGGTTTGAAACGAATCAAGTCAATTGTAATAGCCGACAAAACGAAAATACGAGAATACGAAAATTATTGAATATTTATATTAATTTACAATGGGCCGGTGAGTAAAGCTTTTCCCGGAAAAAAAGCAGAAGAAGACGAAGATGAGTTTCTTTCCACCGCCGTTGACAAACCACACGAATGTCAAGTTAAACGTTTCACAAGCAATATTTTACATACTTATACATGCATTATATACATATATATATATACATAAATATATATGGGTAAATATATATAAATAAATATACGATAATAAATATATACATAACTTATATACACACTCCGCAATAAAGTGTCGACGGCAAAATAGAAATAATTATAATAATAATAACAATAATAACAATAACAATTACAATAATAAAATATTGCATGACAGAAAAACTCAGATATCCTAGCGAAATGTCTGATAATGCGAAAATAAACGTAAATGACAGACGATAGCAAATGGAAATTAATAAAACATTTTTAGTGATATTCTTTAGCAAACTTGAATCTGATTTCCTTGCTAAGAACAAAACGAAATGTAAAAAGTCAAGATGAATTTGAAAAACCAAAAACACGAAAATACGAAAATAACGAAAAACAACAATTAAAGCAAAGTGCGTATATTTTACAAAAAACCAAAAGCTAAAAATGAAACAAACATATTTTTTTTTTCTCCCATTTACCTTGACTCGACTTTTGTTATCTCCTTTGTACTACTCTATTTACCGTTATTTATCATCATTATTATTCCGATTATTCCGATTGTTATTATTATGATTATATGGCAAAACGTCGACGATTTCGATTATTGTGTAAACACATGCAAAACTTATAAGAAAAACAAAAAAAAAAAGCGAAAACTTTATAGAACATACAAATGAAAATCAAATTCTTTTACCAAGGAAAAATACTTAATTATTTTTTTTAAGTAAATCGCCTAAGGGGGAATGGAAAATTTATCTTGTTACTGTCAGAAAATATTACTTACTTCAAATAAAAATTTTAAAGCGAGCATAAGCGTATCTTCATTGTGTTTATTGTTTTGTTCAATTAAATATTCAACTGGGACAGCGAGCCATTCAAGTAGTTATTTTGATTGAGGTAAGTAGTAAGTCCCCCCAAACTCCTGGGAGTTCAGCCTGCTGTTTGGAAAGTGGCCCCCCTTCGGGGACCTTCTAACTACATGAAAGTTTCAACTTAATTGTCGAGCTCTTAATGGGCTAGTTGGCTTTGCCTTGGCTTTGGCTGGTGAGCGTTTTGTTTAATGGCCATTAACTGTTATGGCCAGTCACACGTGGCGTATGCGCAATCAACGGAGACAGCTCTACATGGCGATTACATGGATTTGCCCCCCAAACGTAACGTAACGTAACGTATACGCAGCGTGAGCACATAAATGTATAATGTTTGCACAAAGCAAACTTCAAGTGTCTAGATGGTCAGGCTGACATGTTAACAGTATGTAGCAAGTTAGGTCAACTTTATTTGCCAGATTGATGTCGTACTTAATACTAATTGATGTACTTACATGTCAGTGTGCCATGTGTGTGCGCTCGCCATTTGAGTGCCCAGCAAATTGATGATGAAATAATTCACTAAAATGTCATTGAAATTTTGTGATAAATATTTAATAAAGGAAAAAAAAGCTGAGGATTGCCCAAATAAAAATAATGGAGAATACTTTATAAACACTATACATGTAATAAAGGGCAATCCTCCATCAGACTAACTTTGCCAAATTAACTTGAAGCATTTTCCGAGTCATGCCAATGCCACTCAATTTTTTATAATTCTCATGACAGGGCCCTTACCCACAAGTGTTGACATTTGATAATTTTCATTTAGCTGCTTTTCCATTTTTAGGAGAGGGGGTGCGCGCATTTTTGATTACCTTTTGCGGTTTTTGTGCGTGCCTCGGGCGCTGGAAATTGGACATGAATTAGTAATGAATTTTGGCCCGCAGATGCGCTGACTTAGGCAGCGGCAGCGGCAGAGACAGCGGCAGAGGCAGAGACGTCGACTGCGGCAGCATGTTTATCTAGGCAGCCCAACTATTTATAATAAAAGGCTAGCAGATTAAAAACCAAAATAGATTCTGTATCTGCAGCTGCATCATCTGTATCTGTATCTGTATCTGAATGTGTATCCGAATGTATCTATACAATTCGCATCATTGCTGGGCCAGCAAAAAATGTATGAAACAAATGGGAAAACAATGGCAGGCAAGTGAGAAAAATTTCAAATTAACAAATTTTACATTGGGCCACGCCCCCCGCCGCCACCTCTCTGCACGCCCCTGACCTACCCAACTAGAATAAATAAACAGTAATTATAATTGGCCCGTTTCGGATACGAATTCGATGCTTTTCGGCATGGCCATAGGGCATGGGTATCGGCAACGGCATCGGCATGGGTATCGGCATCGGCATGGGCATCGCGGGAGAATGAGTGAGTAATTCCCTCGTAGGTGCGCCCATTAAATTCTCCGCTTATGTACGCAATTGCGAATTTATTCCTCGCGCGTTCGCTGGCTAGTTGCAAATTGAAATGGGAAATGGTATGTCCGTCAAGTGATCACCACTTGATCGTCATCAATGATTTGCAGATGGGAGCCCAGCGGCAAGTACTTGATCTAATGGGTTCTAAACAGATCCAAAGCTACTATTTAATTGGCTGGAAAGGGCAACAATTACGATCCGATCAGGAAACCAATCAATAATCTCCTAAAAACTTGTGATTCATGTGAGCAATAAGGCTGCATTTAATTATAGATTTCAAAAGTATTTAATACTAGCAAGAATTTGAACTTAAATACTTTGTATGCTATACACTATTAATAAAAAGTTATATACGTCTTGGTAAGTCACTTCCGATAAGGTTTAGTTATAATATTGAAAATGTTTTTGTTTTGATGTCGGCTAGTGTAATCTTTAGCAGCCAATGTATACAAAGAATTATTTAAATGAACGATAAGACAGATCCAAAAATATCTTAAAGACTTTTCTCGTTCAAAGAAGCGAATAGATGATCCAAGGCAATAAAAAGCTAAACAAATTGATACTGTTTCTGTGGAAAAGAAGGGGCTCTCTATTTCTATGGACTGGGAATCATTGAGTTGACATTACTGGGAATTTCACTTTCACTTTGATAAGATACTCTTTCAAGTTTTTTGTATTCATTTTTTTAAGTTTGAGTTATTTTGAAATTACCACTAATGTTTGGGTATTGTCTTAAGAAACAAATTTGAATTAATTGAAGATATCCTAATGCAAATTTGTAGAGTGTAGATCAAAGAGATTGGTTCTGTTTTAAAGTAGCGTCTGCATAGTTTGTCGAGGCGTTGATCTATCCAACCGAAATACGTATAGGAACAGCCCAATAAACGGTTCGTTTGATTTGCCTGCTGTCCGTATCTGTATCTGTAAATGTATCCGTATCTGTATCTGTATGTGCGGCTGCCGTTTTATTGTTTATTTGCTCGCCAGTTTTGCCTTTTGTTATTCGCCAGAAATTTTTATTATTTACTATATTTAGGCAGGGGCAAAGAGGAAGAGAACCTGAGCAATAATTAGTCACCGCCGAACCACGACAGGCGGCACCTGCAAGAAATGCAAAGTAAATTCTTCAATTGCTCGATTGCTCTGCCACCGTTGGCTGCACAGCTGACGTCGACGCCGACGACGACTGCGACTGCGACAGCGACTGAAGCCCAGGGCATTTGTGCGGCTGCTGGCATTCGATTGCCATTCGCACAAGTTGCATGTTCGCGACTCGATTTTCGGTTTCCTCATTGTTTTCTGTTTTCTCTACGCTTTTTTTCCCCCTTTTTTTTGCGAATTTTTTTTTTGGGCCGCTCGCGTGCTCTGTGCATAATTTAAATCACTTCCTCTGCCAACACCCACTCCACCACCCCCCTCCCCCCGCCTACCAGTGAATTCTAATTAAGTGTGCGCTCTAATGCGTTAAACGGTCCTGCAATTTGTTTTAAGCCAAAGACAACAGCAAAAAAAAAAAGAAAAGTTTTTGTTTCTGTTTATGTTTCCGTTTGAGTGGAAATTACATTTATAATTACGCTTAATCAGTCGATTACTGTCATCGCAAACACGGATCAACCGAGGACCCACCGCAGCGTTCGATGAGCACACACAAATGAGCGGCAGGTATGTGGATTTGTGGATTTGTGGATTGCGTTCCCCGGGTAAACATTATTACCCCATATCCATCTCCGGCTAAACCCAATAATTAGGCAGATTCCCTGCGGCAAAATAGGCTGGTTTAATGAGCGAATCGGTCTGCATACCCATACCCATTCTAATTCCCATTCAATTTGCGGTCCACATCGGTGGTCGGTGTCATCTTTGGGCGCGAAATTTGAAGCTGCGGTTATTTCGGCCCAAGACTGATGACTTTGTGCGGTATTTGGCTATGCCTTCCATTGTTTATGGTTAAGCGGTTGACGGCTGACGATTCATTGTCTCTTGTGGGGAGCTCTAGGCAGAAGGGCTTCTTGGAAATTTTATCGGGCTAAGTTACTGGTTAGCCAGGTAAACATAAACAGCTTAACCTGTAGTTAAGTGTATGTTGGCAAAAGCTTTTGAGTTTATAATCCAAACAAAAATTTTGAGTCTTTGTATGTATGCCTCAATCTCTGTTAAAAATGGTAAACATAATCTTTAGTTAAGTGTTTGTTGGCTACAACTTGGGTGAACAAAAAATGTTATGCATCACGTTGGGTTTCTAATCCAACCAAAAACTTCAAATATTTTTTTTAGAGCATAGAAAGCATAATACATACTAGAAAGTTTTAAATACGCCTTAGCAAAGTTAACTGGTTGGTGTAAAAACATCAAATCTTTTCAAAACAATATTTTTTCTCAATTTTTGTTAAGGAGCTTTTAAATATCTTTAGAGCTTACCTGTTTTTGAACATCAATGGTAACCAGAAACTATCACCCAACCAAATGTAATAAACTTCCTCTTTTGGAACGTCCCAAGACAATTTTGATTTATAATAATATTAGTGTCACAAGTTAATGAGATCATTTGATAATTAAATATATAGGCCATCACATTTAAGTGAAAAAGCTGGATTTTTCTTCAAGTTTGATACGGATGTTTTTCTTTGGAAGTCTTTAAAGTTTTCATACAGTCTTTGGGAGTCCTCTTCGATGGTCGATGGGTGTTCAGAATGTCAGGTTGTTAGGTTGCGAAAAGGATCTTGTTGGTTGGCTAATTGCTGAGCCCACATCGCATAATTTATATCGCGTTGACAGGCCTGGCACATGCGCTTGGCTATCATAGCATCGGGCGTTGGATCCGGTGGCAGACCATTCGTCCTCCGCGAGATATACCTCTGCTGCCGTGCCTCATAGAGGAATAGACCCAGGGCTGGAGTTTCCGGAAGGCAGCCGAGCAGCAGGAAGTTCACCGTCTTTTGCCAGTATTTGAGTGACGAGTTGACGGCGGCGATAAAGATGACAAACGATGAGATCAAGTGAAAGGAATTGAAGGCTTTGCCGCTCAGGAGCCAGTTGATGCAAACTGCCGGAAGGTGGGCGACGAGCCAGGAGCCCCATTCGGCTCGTCCCAGGGCCAAAAGCATTTCGCGAATAATGCCCAGAAAGGGCAGCCATAGCCGGCTATCCAGATACTCGACCAGCTGGAGCAGCAGCCATGTCTCCGCCAGAAGCATCAGCAGGTTGACGTGATGACGACATCGCCGGACATACAGTGGTCTGTACTGCAGGATGGCCATCAGAACGCCACAGCCGAAGTACAGGTCCTTCCAGCGTTGATCATCGTCCGTGGAAACGGCGCCATCCTTGAAATCGAGCACCCAACCAAATTCGGGCTCATTGGTCAACAGACGCCACTGATTCCACCGCACGAACATCCCAATGAACACGATTAGCCAGCTCTCGTAGAGATCGCGCTTCAACTCCGAAAAACAGTTTTGATCACTTAGCATCTTGGAAAATATAGCAAAAGAAAAAAAAATTGAATAATTGTGGAGATGTGTTGATGTTGACCCTGTAGAAAGGTGAAAAAGATTGTGACTTGTGAAATTTGGAACAGGTTTGTCTGTGAGATTCTTGGTGGAGGCTACTTTGACTGGGATTTAGCAATTGTTATTTGCTTTGTACAGAATAATAAAAATAGAGAAATCATTTCAAATTTTTTTTTTTGGCAATTTTTTAATTAAAATAACAATATTTAAGATTACAAATCTCAAATAACGGTTATTTCACCATCAAATAAACAAAATTTTAAAACCAAAATCTCAAATAACATTGATTTATTAGTTTATTTCATGAAATTTATACTTTTTTCGATCCCTGGAAATCCTTGTGTTAAAATAGGCACTAAAAAATTGTGTTTTGAAAAAAATATAACCCTAGATTTAAAATCTAGTGATAGCTTTAAAACAACCAAAGGTTTTCCGATAAATTCCTACCCGTTGTCATGGTATTTATTAGCTTATGTTTTCACTTTTAAACAGTTCACTTAAATGAGGCAACAACTGGAGAATCTGTAGTAGCCCAGGCTAGTGTTTATGCGTCGCTCTCTTTGTGTTTTTTAATGCTGTCTCCCTCGCTCACTTTCAATGTGTGCCCCAGACACATTCACACACGTACATACGTTTTCATTGAAGCCTCGAGCCATAATGGCTGCTACGGTGGAATAATTATATTTTTTCATCAAAATATTTTAAATAAATTGCAATTTATGATAGAACAACTTTAGCTCAACATAGAAATGTAAAATTATCATTTATAAGTTATGTATAAAATTGCAAATGGGCCTTATGTTTGACTAAATAATTGAAAGTTATTAACAAAGTGTTGATAGCTGGTTTGTTTTGCCCATTTTTATATAAATATTTTCGTTTTACACAGCCCAAACGATGGTTTCTTTCCACTTGCATGCAAATAAAGATAAGATAATTAAGATAATTACTGAATTTTCCTGTTTTTCTCACTATCTGCTGTTCGCTGAAGGCGTTGCCTCCAAGGTGTCTGGTAGCTACAACTAAACCCACCGTGCCACCCCTTCCCCCCTCGTTTTGCCTGCTCGAAGTAAACAGCATTCGAGGGTAGTGTAAACAATCATTGACCTCGTTCATATTTCTTGGAGCGTTCGCTCATTTGCCTTTGGCTCGAGTCCCAGACGTTGACTCTGCCTGGTCGCAATTAAAATTGTTGTTTAGCTAGTTGCCCCTGGACGATGTTGCCCCTTAGCTCAACCCCCAACCCCCAACCCCCACCCCTCCATACACCATACACCATACCAGCCTACAATACATCGCCACGGTTGGGGGAAAATGGGAATCATTCGCTAGGCGGCATTTGGGCACCAATTAGCCGCCAAGCAAGAGGCTAAAATCTGATTCTGTTGCGTTTACTCCGCCCCGGAAAATGATGATGAGCATAAAGCACAAAGGCAAGAAGCCAGAAAGAATCAGAGGGAATCAGGAGCTGAAAACAGCCAAATTACGATAGGATCAGCCGCAAAGACACAGAAAAGTGAAACAATCAGGATTTGGGTATTGCGAGGAACCGAACTGCTACATACGCTTTTTAAATGTGGGGAGTGTTCATTTTAATGCGCCGTATTAAGTATGAACAATTACAGTTTCCATAACTTATTTTTTATGGCACTAGTAAGCCACTCGGCAAAGAGGATTTCATATTGAACTTTACACTTATGCAGTTTGAAACAAAAGGGATTTTTTAATGCCCTTGAGGAAAAAATTATCACATTTAAGTATCAAGCAGTAAAAAAAATTATATTACATTTATTTTCTATACATTAAGTTGGAATAAATATAATAATTCATGCTTTATTAAGCACCTAATAAATATTGCTAAACTATAATTGTTTTTAAGTAGTCTCTTTAACTGTTGTCTTAGAAAGTATAGAGGAAAAATGCGCTTAAGTGGATTAATTATTATTAATTATTTACATTTAACATTTATTTAGACCCTATATTATATTGCTTAAACTATAATGGCTTAGAGTGGTCTTTATGCATTTTCACTTAGAAGATGAGTCATAAAACGGCAAAAAATATTAAATTTTTCATTCAATTTTAGTGTCAGGTAATTAAAAAAAAAACATTTTATTTAACATTTAGCTAGCTTTTAGTATTATAGTATTTGCTTACACCATGGTGGTTTTTCAGTTGGTCTATATACACTTTAACTATTTTAACAAGTTGACTATTTCAGCTTCAACTTTCAGCTATGCTACCCCTTTTTTGCCAAAGAGCATCAAACTTGGCCCAATGAATGGCGTACCAAGAGGCAAGTTTAAGCGGCTTGTTTGCAGCCAGCCCATAGCCCATTTTCCATATCCCTTGGCCTGAGCCCATGGCCCATAGCCCATAGCCTTAGCATTCGCCTTAGCCCATGGCCCAATATCGAGGCAGGCAATCAAGGATAACGCGCATTATCCCAGGACCCACATATGGAGGATGGCAGGCGATGGGGTCAGAGGGTTGGAAATCGGTATTTGGTATTTCGTATTTCTTGTTTCGTATTTGTGTGTGCGTCGCTGCGACGCCAGCATAGCGCTGGTTTAGCATTTTTATGTGTCCCGACCTCCTTTCCCTTTTCCTTTTCCTTTCCCTGGCCTACAGAGACATTATGTAGTTGGCTTTATCGCAAACGATTTGCCAAACACAATATGACGTCGACCAGGACCCAAGACCAAGACTACGACCACGACCAAGACCACTACCACGACCAAGAACAGGACCAAGTCAATGGCAATGACAATGGCATGGACCGCAGAACCACACACACATTAAGGCACATGTGCGATAGTTGGCAGGCGACTAAAATGTCCGAGACCTTCGGTACTTTAGTTTTTGATGAATTGGTAAGCATATTCTGAAAAAATATGTAGAAGTTAGTAAATCGGACTTAAGACAATCCCTAGAATAGTTTACTAATCTATACAAATACAATTCCGAAAGTCTAGATATGAATCATTCCTACACTTTTTAAAAAGTGGAATAGTAAAAATAAGTGAGTGACCATTGAACTCTTTATTTTATATTTAATATTTAAATTTAATATTAAATCGTATTAAATACCTTGCATGTTATGTTAAATTGCATGATTCAATATTAAAATATGTAAGTTAATGTGTAAAATATTTGATTTCGAATAGTTCTCATATGAATTAAATGCATTTTATTTAAGATGTTTCGTTAGGTTTTTGGTTGTATTTTGACCAAACCCTATACACTCTATAACATTAGGGCTTATTGAAAAATTATGTAACGGGTGCAAGGAAGTGTTTCCGAACCTGTAAGCCATATTCCACAATCTTGATTAGCTTTCGTTCTTTCGTTCAAAATATCACAGGCCCTGCCAAATTTGTCAATTCTTTTCAGCGACTTAAAAATGATAATTAAATTCCAAGTTTTACGCTTGCTATTTCTACCCAATTTTATGCTTTATTTTATAGGTATGTTGGTATTTTTTTCCCTCTTTCACCACATCAATATCCGTCGCCTTGTCGCCTGTCCCTTTTCTTAATATGTATTTGCCACACAGTGACCGTTTTCTTTTTTTTTTATATATATATATTGTGAGCTGTTTTTGTTGCCCTTTGTTGTTGTAGTCAATGGAGCGACATTGGAGGCTTTTGTTTACTTGACGCTGCTGACTTTTTAGGGTCCTTTCCACCGTTTATATGGCGCATAAAATTAATAATAACAACAAATGGCCCAGATGGGCGGGTTGGAAAATGGTAGTCAAACAGGGCGAAAGCTTAAAGAGAAAATGCGGATCATTAAAGGGCAGGGAAAGCCTCCCAACCGGGATAGTTTTTGGGGATACACCCAGGGATCCACTTGCAAACCCACCCAGGAAACCATTTAGAGATCCATCCACTCGCATCCACTTAGAAATCCACCCTTCAGGAACTCACCCTCATCATCAATTAGAGCTGAGTTTTTAATATTTTGACAATCTGCCAAATCAGTTGCAACTTGCTCTTGAATCCCTACTCAAATATCAAGCATACGCCACGTTGGTTGCCCCTCCTTTCGCTGTCTGATGCTGGCGCCGGCATTCGGTGAAGTGTCTGGAAGCTGTCGCCTCTGGCTGGGATCGGAGGTGGCTTAGGGTGGTTCGGGGTGTGCCACTATGTGTGTGTGTGTGTGTGTGAAAGAGGAGTGGAGAGGAGAGGGGGGGGGGGAGGGTGGCCTGTAGTCGAGCACCCGTTCACAACGACACTTCAAGTGTTCCGAGCCACCCATTCCGCCTTGTTTGTTCCTGTTTTTGCCACTTTGGAAGTGCGTTTATTAATTTTCATATCGCCAGCATTTCTCAATACGCTCGTGCCTGTCCTTCGCTCATTTTGGCCCCATGAGGCATTTTCTCGTAAGAGACGCACACACACACACACACACACACACACGTTAAATTAAATAATTATGCGCTTAATTATTTTTTGGGCGTGGGCGTTGGCGTTGGCGTCTTCTGCTGAGGAAAATGTTTAATTGTTTTTTAATTTGTATTTAAATGTGGCAGGCACTGAGCCAGCTAATAGACATCTGCGGCGGCGTGCGTCTGGAAAGTATTTGCTTGGGTGTGGGTGAGGTATGCCGGCTATTAAGCCACTCTAAGCTCCCCGCACAGATTGATTCCCCAGATTTCCCAGATTCACGGGAGCAGTAGAAGTAGCAGTCGTCAGCTGGCATTTTCCCTGCCTCTTCGCTTTTCCTCTAGTTTTTCACACCCTCTCACGCTTTTGCTGGCACTTCAGCTCAGCTCGTGTGTGTGCATAATTTCCATTCGAGATTTATGCACTTCGTTCTGCATTTGGTTGGCTCTTCATTGTTTTTTGCACAGTCTGTGCTTACTTCGTAGCCAGTTTTTATGGCCGTTGATTAGCATAGTGCTTATTGTTGCACGCATTCGAATGCAAGTGCCTTGAATTTGTGTAGCCTTAGCACCTAAGCTCGAGTCTTATTCTCTTTAATTTCCCTTTTTGCTAATGCCTCTCCTCTTCCTTCCGGTTTTTGTTTTTTGTGTATTTTGCTATTCGGTCCTTGCGATACTTGAAGGGTTCTTGGAATTCAA